CGCTGTCCAGTTTGATGGCGAAGGAGTAGCAGAACGAATAACCTCGCTCCTTTTCACACACGGCATTTCCGTCGCAAGAGGTATCATCAGTGTCGCCGCTGGACGCACGGACTTGCTTCTGACAAATTTTAGGGATGAGCGCCGGCACCTTCCAAAAGGCATGGCCGTCGCTTACTTCGACGATATCACAGACGCAGAAGGCTGCTTGGCAGTAGTCGACGAGGCGCCAAAACTTGATTCGACACCAGTTCTTGACGTTAGGACTGCTTTGCCTAAGAACGAGCGAAAGAGGCTTCTAGAGCTACTGGCCGAATTCAAAGACTGCTTTTCGACAACATCAAGAGTTGGCCGCACGCCTCTCACCAAGCATCGAATAATTACCGAGGACATGGTGAGACCAATTCATCAAAACCCCTATCTCGTGGCTGCAAAGGAACGCGAAGTGATACAAGAGCAAGTCAACAAAATGCTAGAAGATGACGTCATTCAGCCCTCAAAAAGCCCCTGGGCGTCACCTGTAGTCCTCGTTAAAAAAAAAGATGGCAGCCTGCGCTTCTGTGTAGATTACCGAAAACTCAATCAGGTGACAAAGAGAGATGTGTATCCACTTCCTCGTATAGATGACTCTCTCGACAGACTTCGACATGCTCGTCACTTTTCATCGATGGACTTAAGGAGTGGGTATTGGCAAATCGAGGTAGACCCAAGAGACCGCGAGAAGACTGCTTTTGTGACACCAGATGGCTTATATGAATTTAAAGTCTTACCCTTTGGTTTATGTTCAGCGCCTGCTACCTTTCAAAGACTTATGGATACCGTACTTTCTGGGTTGAAGTGGGAAAACCTGCTTGGTCTACCTTGATGATGTCGTAGTTTTCGCCGCAACATTTGACCAGCACCTTAAAAGACTTGAGGCAGTTTTACAAGCCATACGGTCTGCGGGCTTGACGTTGAAGCCTGAAAAGTGCCACTTTTGCTATGAAGAGCTGCATTTTCTTGGCCACGTTGTCAGTCCCGCAGGCGTTGGTCCTGATCCTGAAAAGATCGCAGCTGTTGCACAGTTCCCGGTGCCGATTGATAAGAAGGCTGTCCGACGATTCCTCGGACTATGTGCGTATTATAGGCGATTCATCGCAGACTTCGCACGCACCGCATCACCGTTGACCCGCCTCACGAGAGAAGACGTTGCTTTCCAATGGAGCAACGAAGAGGAAGCTGCTTTTAAGAACATCCGCCAGCGACTACAGACGCCTCCAGTGCTTGCCCACTTTGATGAGAAAGCCCCAACGATGCTACACACTGATGCCAGAAATATTGGTTTGGGAGCTGTGCTTGTGCAGCTGCAAGAGGGCACAGAAAGAGTAATCGCCTATGCAAGCCGAACACTAACACGCGCCGAGACCAATTACTCCAGGACTGAGAAGGAATGCCTCACCGTGGTATGGGCGGTCACAAAATTTCGTCCGTATTTATACGGCCGCCCTTTCAAAGTCATCAGCGACCACCACTCACTGTGTTCGTTGACAAATCTTAAAGATACTACCGGGAGATTAGCGCGTTGCAGTCTCAGGCTGCAGGAGTACGACATGACTGTCGTACACAAGTCAGGAAAGCGCCACATGGACGCCGACTGTCTATCCCGTTCACCCATTGAATCGGCAACTCTATCCGATGAGGAGGAAACAGCATTTCTCGGTGTGCTTGACTCAACCGCTATTGCACAGCAACAACGTGGCGACCCTGAGTTACTTGCCCTAATTAATTACCTGGAGGGAAGATCTCAGAAGGCACCAACTGTTACCGTAAGAGCGCTGTCATCATTTTGCTTACGGAGCGGAGTACTAACAAAAGAAACTTCTCTTCGACAGGATCTGCGTATTTGCTCGTCATCCCAGCAGCCCTTCGCTCCGAAGTACTCGAAGCATGCCACAACGAGGTGACTTCAGGCCACTTGGGTTACATAAGAACGTTGGGCAGAGTACGGCAGCGCTACTTCTGGCCAAGACTGACCATAGCCGTGAAACACCATGTTCGTACTTGCCTCGACTGCCAGCGACGGAAGTCACCGCCGACTAAACCAGCTGACCTCCTGCAGCCCGTGCAGGTCCCAAGAACACCATTCAACCAGATTGGCATGTATATTTTGGGCCCACTTCCTACTTCTACGGCTGGGAACCGCTGGGTTATTGTCACGACTGATTACCTTACCCGTTATGCTGAAACAAAGGCTATCCAGAGAGGTACAGCAGCGGAGGTGGCACAATTTTTCATCGAGAACGTTGTCCTGCGGCATGGTGCACCAAGCGTCGTAATCACAGACAGAGGAACCGCATTTACGGCAGCTCTTTTGGAACAAGTCCTCATGCTGAGTGGAACAACCCATCGTAAGACCACCGCCTACCACCCGCAAACGAACGGGCTTACAGAGCGTCTGAACAAAACAATTGAAGACATGCTTTCTATGTACGTAGACGTCGAACACAAAAATTGGGACGAAATCTTGCCGTATATCACGTTTGCATACAACACTGCCAAGCAAGAAACAACCCAGATGACCCCGTTCAGCCTAATTCACGGAAGGGAAGTACGAACCATGTTATATGCGATGCTAGCGCACGAATGCGACGACATCGAACCGGACGCCAAGATGTTTACAGAACGAGCGGAAGAAGCAAGACAACTAGCACGCCTGCGAATCCAGCAACAAGAATACGATGCGAGCCGCTACAATTCTCGCCGCAGAACAGTCGTTTACCAGACCGGCGACAGAGTATGGGTTTGGACGCCCATACGGAAACGAGGACTCTCTGAAAAGCTTCTAAGGAGATACTTTGGGCCATATCTAGTACTGCGACGACTGAGTGATGTTACCTACGAGGTCGTCCCCGACAGTTCACATAGTACGAGGCTTCGCCAGCACCGTCCTGAACTAGTTCACGTTGTGCGCATGAAGCCTTATGAAAGGCAGTAAATGCGCAAGACACTTCTTAAAGAACAGGAAAAAAAAACTGCACTACTGGTTTAGCATCAGGGCGATGCTCATTAAGAGGGGGGGGGGGGGGGGGTCAAATGACGCGTGTGTACTGGTGGACCAAAACGACAATAAGGGGATTTGGCGGACACCAGGTAGTGGAGCTCTGGCTGATTGAAGATAAAGAAGGCGATCTTGCTGTTCGGCTGCTGAGAGTCGCTGTGTCAACGTTTATCTGTCTTTGGTTCACGCTGTACCGTGACAATATGCTGGTCCGTACCATAAAACACATCTGAATTACCAGATATTCCGCATTGATTGGAAGCGAATTAACAAGATTTTATTGTATATATATCGTAGTTGAAAGCGCAACCACAATTGCTCAATGAGGTAAACTATAAAAAGAAACACAGAACGTTTCCTTCAGAACATGCAGAGCGAACCTGCGCTCAGTTCAAACTTGGAATACAATCCTAAAGAGACAAAAAGAACTGTACAAAACAATAAAGAGCATCAAGTATACATAATAAAAACACGGTAGAGGTTTTAAAGTTTTGCACGTCGTCCCAAGAGTTGTACTTCAGTTTTTTTTTCTTCTTCACGCTAATGAACTAATCACGCGTCATCATCAAAGTTCTCACTGTGAACACAAAACAAAAGGAAAGTCAGTGCATTTGTGACCATTCCATCAAAGGTGCCATGAATGTCGTGTGGCAGTTGCAGGCTGCTTGATCATTGGCTTGATGCTCGCTATCTCGGATGACATTGTTGGAGCAGCGAGTCTCCGCCACTGCTTCTTGTTGGAGCCTGGACGAACTCCAAACTATATGGCTCTTCCTGGACGACATGGAGAAGGCACTGTGTGTTTCCAGCGACCCTTGCAGACTTCCTGAACCCATAACATTCATAAAGCTTGCGCTGGGGAAAAGTCTGGCTCTCGTGAGCGACAGATGTGTTTGGCGACTCCGTGGCGCCTTAGGATTAGCCCTCTGAAGAGGCTACAATCGGGGCCAAACGCACTTGCATCATGAGTTTGGGAGGTCCCTCACTTCTTATTGCTCGTGTTAAATTGTAGGCATCAGAAAGCCTTGGCTTTCTTGGTGGCTTTCCCGGTTGACTGCGCGACGTTGTTTGAGCGCGTTCTGGGGGAGGCGAAACGAGTGTGTCCTATTTTCCATTTATTTTCTTCATCTTCTTTGCCTTTAATTGCCTTACCTATACATTTATTCCCATTGCTCCAGCCCCGTGCCCACCTGTTGAGGCGTCATCTTAAGGGTATACGGTTACGGGCGGCACTTTTATCTTCTTTTCCTTTTCCTAACCACTTGGAGAAAGCATGTCCCTTGTTTGACTGGAATCGCAAGCCGTGCTGCAACCAGCTTAAAAATGATTGCGTAGTTGTCGGTTCATCATCTACGTCAATGCAGTTTTCTGTCGACAGAAGCATAAAGACGCTTTTAAGAACATGGTGAGGAGGAATGGTTAAAGGAGGAGGAGAGACTAAAGTATAGCATAGACATGTACAGTATGTTATAGCAGGTGGTTGAGAATGTGAAGTGAGGGTAAGGAGGAAGGAAAGGGCACCAACTCTGCCGTTTTCTCTCTTCGCACGACCAGTGCTTATGTGCCTCAATTTTTTTATTAATATTGTTATTACAATATCTTGCCTAGAAGATCTTAGGATTTTTATACATAACCGGCCACTCCTTTTCACAGATGCTAGAATATATGAAAACCTGAGCAATTAAAAACAAAATATAAAAGTGTCAGAAATAATCTCACCAATACTGAAGTAATAGCACCAGCCCAGGAGAGATTTGTATCAGGTTTAGTATACTATTTTTACACTATGTTAAGGTGTCATTTATCGTACTGCAGCTTTTGTCGTTCTTTCGAAATAATTTGGTTCATGAAAACATTTTCGCGACCTACCTGCTATAGTTCTTAAGCAGAACATCTGCGATATCATTAAATAAAATATTATTAGTTCCCATTGTGGTCGAGTAAGTGTAGTGTCCCTCTTCGCTAGGTATAACTAATATGATAATATATATGGTGTGGGCAGAAGTAATCGGCCAATCCTCTTTGGGCGCACTGGCTTGACGAAGTCCGGTTCCCGAATGTTTGTTAACTGAACGGGAACTTGACATCTGAAACTGGACATCCGGGAACTGAACATGCGGTTAACTTGACATTCAAAGACTGGACATCTGGTAGTTTGACATTCCAAACTGAGCATACGGGGATTGAAAATCCGGCAACTTGACACCACGAAGCGGACATTCGGGGACTGAACACCTGGTTAGCTTGGCACCCATGGACTGAACATCCATTAACCTTGTATCCGGAAATGGGGCATCCGAGACTGGGCATTCGGGAAGTCCTGCTCTCAGATGTCAGAAGGTACCCAGCTTTTCTAAAGACATCCGTAAACTGTCCGGGCAGTGGGCCTCGGCCGCTTGCCTGTACGCGCAGCCAGGCACTGCGGGCGTCTTCGAGCTCATCTTGTTGTAGACGTGCATGACGTAACTCGCGGAGGACATGAGCCACGCCTCGCGACTGGCGTTGGCGACGAAGAACGCTTCCCAGCGGTCGAAGGGCACCGGCAAGAACATCCAGTGGGGCAGCACCTGCGCCCCCCGAAAATTGCGGTGCCGTTATTGCGGTGCCGTTAAATTGCGAACGCCGTTATTCATTTGATTTATTACATACACACTATACAGAATAATGTTAGATCCATACACTTGGCAGCTGGTTCGGGATCCAATAAGAAAAGAAATACTCAAGAAGGGCGCACTTTTGGCACGTGATAATAAAACACGCGTAAGTAAATTATTTTTACAGGAAAAATTCGGGATAAACAAATGACTGTATTACGAAAAGTGGATACAAATAGCATTCGTTGCCAGCATTCGTGAAAGAAGCTTTTAAACATTCTTCAATGAGAGAGTGCAGTGACAGAGTGCTACGTTACAGCGCCATCGAATTCTATTGATGTACATCGTAACATGGTGTTAAGTTGATACAGTTTTTTGAAGCATCTATCGTTTTTCGCGCCAACAAATTACATATTGTGAGGGGCAGCTGATTGTATAGTTAGACTTATCAGAGAGAGGAAGAGAGTGCGTTTTCATCTATTCCGACGCTTCTGCTTCTTCGTTATTTCTGATGAGCGTTGCGATTAGCTATCATGACTATCCAACTAGCCTAAATGAAAATTTTGCATTTGATACCGGTAATCGAGACTTCCAAGAAGCTTTGAAGTATGCCACCCGTGACTCAGATCCACTTCCTATTTACATAACTTCGGATGCACCAGCCTTAATGCCTAAAGCACGGGGCTTTCTGACGCGGTGCCATGCTTTCTCCTCAGACAAATTCCACGGGACTTCCGTCACGAAAATGCGGTGCGCGCTGTCGTGGTAGGCAAAAGACGCTCTGCCTACCGCAGTTTCTGCTGGGTTTTAAATGGTGCATGTGGTGTTCTCAGTCAAGCAACAAGAGAAAAAAAAACGGTATGCCGATGAGCTGCGTCGCGGTTGGGTGTGAGTGGCGTTCCACAACGTCGTTTTGTTGGCACACATCACAGCCCTCAGTTCTTAAGGCGGAAGTTACGTGCGGACGTCGCTATAATTTTACCCATAATGTCGACGTCGGCCTACCTGTGTTTACAAACATGGAATGGGTCTATTGAGTGAGAAGGCGCGTGGCTTCGTAAAGCTTCGTGTCCACTCTCTTCATGGGGAGAGGTTGCGGCACTGCGAAAAAACTCCACGTGCTGACGCACTGCAACGAATGCGAGGCCTTTTAAACAGCAAAAAGTCGAAGTCTCACTTCGCATGTATCTCTGAAGAGAGAGCTTTTAAGACTGTATACCGTGAAGCCCGTGTCGTCGCCGCCGCACCTGCGTCCGAGCAGCTCCTTCACCTGCTGTGCCCCGCATCTCTCCAGCGTCACCAGACGCAGCAGCTTGGGCCCAATGGAGCTCCACTCTTGCGGCCTGTATACGCTGCGTACTGTTCGCATGAGATGCAGCAGAAAGGGGTCACCTCGGCGAAACGCCAAGAACGCGTTGCTCACCATGTCGCCGTTCTCCTGCGCGCAAATTCAATACTTCTTTAGCATTCACGACAGGTTTCAGATCGGCGGTGCGTGTTGAAGACGACGACGCCAGCACACCTGCAAGTGACGTCATGCATAGTTGTGTAGTAACGCCACCGCAAAGAAACAGGACTCAGCTGAGCAACAGAGTGAGCGTTATATGTGTGCCTTCGTTGCTTTCTTGTGTGTTGTTTCTTTGCGCCACAAGCCTGATCAAAATATGCCGTACCCACAAGCACGCCATTAGGAAGTTCACTGTGTGCGTTACTTAGCGTTGCATAGTAATGTAATAATTGTTGGTGCTTGCGTCCCAAAACGATGATATGAGGGACGCTGCAGTCTCCAGGAGGGCTCTGGAAATTTCGACCACCTGGGGTTCTTTAAAAAGAAAGAAAGAAAGAAAGGAGGAAACGAAGGAAGGAAGGAAGGAAGGGAGGTTAACCAGGCACATGCCCGGTCTGCTACCCTACGCTGGGGAAATGGGAAAGGAAAGTATAAATATGTAGAGAGAGCTGAAAGAGAAGAGGAAGAGAAAAAAATGGTTCGTGAGAGGGCTGACGCGTTACTTTTGTTAGGCCCGTAGGGCCGTAGTGTTAGGCCCGTAGGGCTCAAAATACAGTCAAAGCCCTCTGGCGCTTTTTGGTGTTCCTTAACGTGCCACTAAATCTAAGCACGCGACCTTAAGAGAAGTTGCATACACTCCTCTCACCACTGGCGACTGGCAGACGCAAGGTGGCAGCGAGTCGAGGGGGCGCATCACGATGACGTCGATGTCGAGGTAGACGCCCCCTAGCTTGTACACCACTGCCAGCCTCATGGCGTCGGCTAGGTGCTCGACGGGGAAGGCGCTCGTGTCCAGGATGCCAGACTCGTACCACGCCTCTAGTGGGGTGTCCTGGAACACCTCCTGCGGCTGCTCCCGACAGTACAAAGAAAAAAAATAAAGTGTTGATTAAGCACTTGTGCAGACTAATGGCACGCTAGATAACAGTGAATCATTCTTCGGATCCAGTGTTTTCATTCTAGAATTTACTGCCCCAACAGCAGTGCCGTTGCATACGTTACAGTACTTCCGATGAACATACATTTTATGTTAAAAGTACATGGCGATGCGTTTTTGAACATTGATATGAATATGCATTATATAGTGCAAACTCGTTATATTCTTTGTATGCTCTTTAGCTGAAAGAGTATAGCGATGCGTTTTAAACTTTTTACGTGAATTAGTTCGGCGTTTAAGATACAAGCACTTTTAAATTACCCGTATTTTACTCCTTTATTTCTTTTTCGTGAAAGTTCCAACGATCATTGTTCATCTATAGACTGTCATCGTATACCAAAAGGCTGTGTACCGAACGTGCCAGTTTCCCACTGCACACAATCATGCAATGATCACTGACCCAAAGCTGAGCGACCTGTGCCGAGAGTAGCGCGTGTGCTGCACAGTTTACATCAAGCGGCTTACTAAAGCTCTTCATTAACTACGCCACATAGCATCTTCACATGTTGTACGTTGAATCAGTCTTTACTCAAGAACACAGGAACTGTCGCCCGTGGTTTTCTTTTTCGTGCTTTCAGAAGTAACTGATCAATACCAACTAACCCGATCTCATTGCTTTCTATGATTGACAGCTAACTTTTTTTTGGATCTTATCTCGCGTGACTTTGAAGATGCCGATTCAAGTGAATACGTACAGATGCTCCAGACAGCAAAGTTCTCCCACTTTCATGCTCTTTCTCCGATAGAAAGACGGCTGGCGCGTTTCCTATGTGCTTGGAGAGTCATCGGTGGCAGGAATCGCTCGTGGGACAATGTTATCGCATTGGGCGGATCGTTTAGTGCCTGCTTCAACCGCGTTCGTCCCCAGCTTTCGCGCGCTTTCCCTATAGCGCATAGAACATTCGGCGCGCGGGGCCCTGTTAATAGGGAGTTTTCGAATAGGGGCCCCAATCGTTCTGTGGCCCCAAAGAAATAGCATCGAGGCCCCTGCGCATGCGTGACACTGAAACAGGGTCGGGGTTTTACGTTGGGGAATATTTCTCGAATCTAGCGGGAGCCCCAAAGCCTGCCCCAAAAGCTTTGCGTCAGACAAACGTGACGTACGGTACCCACTAAAGTGACGGCTCTCGGCCTAGACTAAAGTGACCTAGAATATAGGTGGCGTACCCAAAGCGCCGCAGACCCCGGCCCTCGAAAACTCTTAGCCTATATATATGCTTGCCTCAAAGTGACCACACGCAAAAGGCTGTGGGGTCTCAAACTTTTGGAGCCCCTCTATGAAAAAAACTCTCTATTGATTTGTATTTTATGTGGAACAAGACGGCGACGGCAAAAAACCCGCCGAGAGTTTTCGTGCAATTGCTATCACGATAAAAGAAAAGGTGCACGTGGAGGGCAGCAGCACTCACCTTGATGACGCTCGCCACGACGTTAGGAATGGACTTGAGCATGTGAGCGAAAGGTCCCGACAAGGTGACATTTGCGCGTGACACGTCCCCTCCGCCCGCGGACAGGAGGTGGACTGCCCAGTGAGGGTGCAGCTTGGCCGCCGACTCAACCGCGCAGGCGACGCGCGCGCTGAGTTGGCCGTAGCCTCCGGTTTCCAGGAAGAAGATTCGGGAGAACCCTTCGGGGGCGGGGCTGCCTGTCCAGACCTCTGAAGCACCGAGAGGGTGACCTGGAATGAGACATGCACAGGAGCACGAATTAAAATATATATATATATCTGCATCACGGGCCAAAGTATCGTCGTTGGCTGATTTGAGCATGACGCATTTGGGAGTTACTGGGGCCGCCGCGGGGAGAACAATTAAGCTCCCCGCCCAAACAAGCACTCCGTACAGGTGGTTAAACAGCGAAAGCTGAAGCGTTTGGCCCCGGTGTTTAGCAGTGGGTTCAACCCGACGTGGCACTGAAACCTTTCACAATCGTCGGTTACATGTTCGTGCTTCGCAATAAAGTTAGGGTTAGAGACGTTTGGCTTGGGTTTACCAGGGCTTATTTCTCATGCCGACCATTGCGCCTCGCATGACACACCACGGCCATGGAGGAGTATGATGAGTGGTTGAATGCGTTTCGCAAAGCGTAATCACAGTGGTTGTTTTCGAACCACAGGCGGACACAGACGTCACATCCGAAGCCAATGTGCCGCGGGAGAGAAACTCCCGCCGAAAGCCGGCATTCGCCCCGGCGAACGCACTCCCGTAATAATCACATCCGGCTGCGGCGGCTGCATTTCCGATGGAGGCGGAAATGTTGTAGGCCCGTGTGCTCAGATTTGGGTGCACGTTAAAGAACCCCAGGTTGTCGAAATTTCCGGAGCCCTCCTCTACATACGGCGTCTCTCATAATCATATGGTGGTTTTGGGACGTTAAACCCCACATAAAAAAAATAATCACATCGACGTCGTAGCACAGCGTTGTCGCGAGCTAACTCAGCGTCGCGCTTTGCAGAATCCACCCGTCACAGGCGCTTGCATTCCCGTTCACGATTTAGCGCGGCGGCTTGGAAGGCTGCCGGCGCTCGGCCTCCCGGGCCTGGTCGGACTGCAGCCCGACGAACGCGAACTCCCTCACGTTTCCATTGTCGGCGATTTTCTAGAGTTATCCGTGGCATACTCATGTAAAGTAATTTGTGAGAAACTCGGTGCCACGGCTGTAACGGGATGGACGACTTACGTCACTCACAACGCAGCCAATGGCGCGCGTGCTTGTGTACGACGCTGCCAACGACGTAACTGATAACACAGCCAACGAAGACCACTCGTGACACCGCTGCCGGGCGGTTTTTCGTTCCTCCTAGCCATATAACTCGGTATGTTACAGCAAAAGCTGTAGAATACCGATTCGTGTTATAGTAAATAACTACTTGGAATTGTGGCGAGTACGACCTGTTGATTTTACAGGCGCGGCTACTAACACAGTGCGCGTGCCCGCACTCTTCGGACCGAAATTCGTATCATCAAGCGGGCGCCGTGCTAAGTGTTGCGGCGCAGCGCAGTCAGTCCCTGCAGATGCGTAGTTAGCAGCACGTCGTCTGCTACGATTCGTTCTGCTTCGCCGCACGCACTTAAAGCACGCACTCTGGTAAAGTTGGAGGAACCGAGCAGACGATACGCGGCTAACCGCCTCTGCTAGTGATTACACCGCGGAGCGTAGCTATATACTGTTGTGATCCCGGTGTGCTGTGGTAGCGTGGTGTAGCTTCGGGTTGAGGAAACGACCGCTTACAAGATGGGGATACGAAAAACAAACAAGGTTTATGGCACTATTTACAAATATTTACAGCATGAGGTTAAGAGTTCACAAACCACGAGCGTGGTGGTTAAACCTTTAGTTGGTTCAGAGCCATCACAAACTCGTACGTGGTGGTTGAACCTTTACTGGGTCCAGAGCGACGTCCTGCACTCTGCGGCGCCGTTATAAGCCCTGTCGGGCTCCTCCTTCTTCAGTCGAACACCAATCACATACACACAACAGGTGAGGGGTACGAGCAGGCACGGCGCACGTGAACAGCCAATTTCGAGTCAAGATCACTGCACTTAAAGGTGGCGCCAGAGGGGCTCTTGCTCGTCGTGTGTGTCACTGCATGGTCGAGGGATCCCAAGCTTCGGACAGCAGAGATCAAACGGTCCGCCAACCTCTCTGCTCAATTAGCAGGGCATTTTGTGGCGGCGGTCGCCGTTTCTACAAAGGAAGACGCTGTCTTTGTTGTCCCCTCTGGAACGGCTTACCGCTTCGTGGCGACGTGACGTCTCATCCGCCGGCTAACAGTGACAATACCTGGCGGGCATAAGCATTCGGCGAGTCGGCTACTTGTTTGAGGGTCAAAAGAGCGCCGCTCCCCCGTCAGATCTCGACGCTGGTTCCAAGAAAACCTGGGTTCCAGGCGTGGGAACGCGGCCCGGCTACGCTTCTCAGCGACAGCATGGCGCCTACCGATGGCGGTCGTAACAGCTTCCCCCTCGCCAGATGAGTCACGGAGGGCAGCGGTCAACACTGCTGCTCGCAGGGACGACGAAAGGGTCAGTAGTTGAATGCCAAGAACTGGCCTTCGCTTGTGGCATGGTCCGGGTGATCGCCGAATCTTCGACAGCATCTCTGATACTCGACCACATGTACAAGTAAGCACTCGGCCCCCTTCGAACAAACCAAGCCAAAAGAGGGATAGCAAACCAATTTTAATTACTAGCTTTAACAAAAGCTCACACTCAGAACTCTCAGGATTCACTTGTGCTGAGAAATCAAACGTGCTACCTTAAAAATTTGCATACGATGCACGAAAAAACTAAAATATCAATTTTGTTACACCAAGAGCACTCCAGAATGGTTTAGAAAGAGCGGCTGAGCGCGTCCGCGTTTCCATTCAATTTGCCTTTTTTATACTTAATATCAAAATGATATTGCTGAAGAATCAAGCTCCACCTCAAAAGGCGACTGTTCTTCGATGTCGCAGTTTGCAGCCAAGTAAGGGGAAAAATGGTCTGTCCCTACTTTAAATTTAGCACCTCTGAGATAACCTGCAACTGATGAATGGCCTACACAAGGCAAGCGCATTCGTTTCCTGAAGCGCAGTACGTTATCCCACGAGAGCCCAAATTCTGGTGCAAGCAAAGCGCAGCTTTGCTTGATACCATTGTCGTCCTGATATAAAACAGCAGGCTCTTTTTCATCGCTGACTACTTTCATCGGTTCTGTCCCGCTGAGAGCATCAGTCAGGAACTCGGATTCAGTGAGCGCTAATTTTGTCCGAACGTCCGTCTTTGTTTACGGCCGCCCATAATTGTCTACCACTGAGACATAAAGCTCACCAGCCTCCCGAAAGGTTAACCTAAGCTGTGACCTAACGGTCTACCTCAGCGGTTGGAGAAAGCTTGATCTGCTCATATGATCACTCAATCGAATATTCTTGGCAGAAAACATCGACAAAACTTAGGCGGCAAACGCTTTCTTGAAGGTTCATTTGGTTAAAGTTACCTGCTTATGCAAACGCTTCTGAGTAAAAAAAAACCACTGGGCTCGCCTGAGCTCTTTAATTACTCCCATTCCAACAGCGTTGCAAGATGCACGGCACTACTAACCAAAACGCTTAATCCATCACAGTTTGTTTAAATTCTTTCAAACGTTACGTTGTAACACAACGTGTACAACACAACAGTAATTCTAGGTAAAAACACCTAAGAAGCAATTGCAGAGGTTTTATGCCAAAACCGTGCAATAAGATTCTCAATGCGCGCAACGGAAACTCTACCGTGTCGCGCCAAACTTAATCATTTTACGAATCACTTGGTCTGTGTTAACATCTTCCTTTAAATGCTCGTTCACTCCAAATCCACTTGACAGTGAAGGCATACGATATAACACTAAACCTTAAAAATACTCGAAAATAACACTTTTTCTCGGTTTTTACCTTACGAAAATTTTCGCATTCGTGGTTAAACTAATTCGATGCTGACTTTCAGCCCTTGGCTCGGCGGTTGTCCTTCTGAAAATTTTCCACCGCATCACGTAACTTACCAAATTTAAAGTGGCTCAAATCTGCATTCCCAATGCAACACTGAGTAACAATATTTGACACGCCCGTGCAAAAGTTACTCGAACTGACCGTTGCCCCTTTTCTCGTGGTTCCTTTAATCGTACACGATGGGGTCGCGGTCCCGGCGGTTTTCTTGCACGTCTGAGGCTACTAAACAAACGAACGTTAGGCTGTGTCCTGCCGTCACGCCTCATTCTCCACTTCGTCCTATTCCCCGTAGGAATTTGAACGTGACGCCAGAAGCTGGGGGGGAGCCTGTGCCATTTTCTCTTTGTATTCACCCCTGCGCGGTATTTAGCCACTCTGCCCTTTCGACTTTGACCCTTCGGGCAAGGCCGCTTTTCCGAAGTCGTCGAGCTGAACCGCGCGCTTCGTTGGGGTGACGCACCTCCCTTTCTCCCTCCACACCTGACTCGCCGCTTGTGCCTCCATGAACAGCCCCATGGACGTTTCCTGGAACGGATTAACGGCCTACCCTCTCGTCTTTCTTGCGACTGAGTGGGGCCTGACCTAGGCCTGCACAGTGACGAACGCTTCTGCTTCTTTCTTTTTCGGCGATGTTTTCTTGCCTCCTTTCTCTCGATGCCATCATCATGTCGCGTCGGGAGCTGAGGGGTTGGGAAGCTCGTTGGAGCTTGTGCTACATTTTCCCCCACGCTCAAACATTTTATACTCGGTGTCACGACGGACTGCCGGGCCAAATTACCTTTGTTAACGCTGATAGAATCATTAACTTGGCACTCTCCGATGGCATCGATGCACTCCTGAAGCTTCGCGTTCTCACTCTCATTAGCCACTGCGCTAACCATATCTACATGTGAAAATTTTGAGACGTCCTCTCGAGGCATGGGGATGGTTTCCAGCTCCTTACTGAGCCCATTAGGGCTGCTGGCACACACCTCATCCTCGCAAGGACCGTCTTTTGATACTGTCTCTATCTCGAGACTGGCCAAGGGCTCGTTCTCGACATGCTCTAGATTGACGCCTTCGAGAATATGCGGGTCCTTTTCTTGCGCGATCCCTGGTCCTGGCGCTTCCTGACGCGCCTCAACTTCCAGCGCTTTGCGATGTGCCTCGCTTTCAGACTCCGGTGCGAGTCTTTCTTTCTTTTTGCTAATAGAAGTTCCGAATCTCCTGATTAGCTCTGCTTTGATGACTTCATAGTTGTTCGCGTGCTGCTCACTGAGTCGCGCAACAACATCCGCTGCCTCGCAGGGCAGAACCGTGCGTAGCTTCTGAGACCAGGTGTCTCGCTCACACTTAAGTTGACTACACTTTCGTTCAAAGAGTCTAAGATACAGGCCCATATCCCATGATACCTCATATGGCTGCATGTACCTAGACATCTCGAACTCTGCCTCATTTTCGAGTACTCCTTGCTGGCGTCCCAACCTCATACTCAACTCATAGTCTTGTTTGAAAAACTTTAGCTTGAGGCTTTCTCTTTCGTCTTCACTCTTTCCTTCCATCTGAGCTGCTCTTAGTTTTCTTTCGATGATGAGGTCCCATTCTTCACTTAGTTCCTCATCATCAGCCCCCAAATCATTAATCGCTTGAATGATTATGGGTTTTCGTGCCAAACCCTTTGTATCGATCCCCAATTCCTCACACAACAGCAACAAGTCTGACATCTGCAGCTCCCGTAAGTCCATGATCCTACTGAGTGCTCGCTACTTCCAAAATAACTTTCCGAAACGGCGAAACTGAGTCTTTCGGCAAAGTTAACTACCAGTTCTAAAATTTAACCCTCTTTTAGAACCTGGTTCACTCAAAGGAAAAGCCAAGCACTCACCCATACGTGATCCATGTCTCGAGCCAACTGCTTCTCTTGGGCCGACTGTTGTTGTCACTTGTAGCTTCGAATCCCGCCGATGCCAACCAGTTGTTGCGGCTCGGGGTGCTTAGTCGTATCCCACCGCTGACGACCAGTTGTCGCGATCCCACCGCTGATCACCAGTTGTTGTGATCCCGGTGTGCTGTGGTAGCGTGGTGTAGCTTCGGGTTGAGGAAACGACCGCTTACAAGATGGGGATACGAAAAACAAACAAGGTTTATGGCACTATTTACAAATATTTACAGCATGAGGTTAAGAGTTCACAAACCACGAGCGTGGTGGTTAAACCTTTAGTTGGTTCAGAGCCATCACAAACTCGTACGTGGTGGTTGAACCTTTACTGGGTCCAGAGCGACGTCCTGCACTCTGCGGCGCCGTTATAAGCCCTGTCGGGCTCCTCCTTCTTCAGTCGAACACCAATCACATACACACAACAGGTGAGGGGTACGAGCAGGCACGGCGCACGTGAACAGCCAATTTCGAGTCAAGATCACTGCACTTAAAGGTGGCGCCAGAGGGGCTCTTGCTCGTCGTGTGTGTCACTGCATGGTCGAGGGATCCCAAGCTTCGGACAGCAGAGATCAAACGGTCCGCCAACCTCTCTGCTCAATTAGCAGGGCATTTTGTGGCGGCGGTCGCCGTTTCTACAAAGGAAGACGCTGTCTTTGTTGTCCCCTCTGGAACGGCTTACCGCTTCGTGGCGACGTGACGTCTCATCCGCCGGCTAACAGTGACAATACCTGGCGGGCATAAGCATTCGGCGAGTCGGCTACTTGTTTGAGGGTCAAAAGAGCGCCGCTCCCCCGTCAGATCTCGACGCTGGTTCCAAGAAAACCTGGGTTCCAGGCGTGGGAACGCGGCCCGGCTACGCTTCTCAGCGACAGCATGGCGTCTACCGATGGCGGTCGTAACAATACCGCTTCGTCTCACAGTGACCGCGCCTCAAGCGAAGTGATTTGTAGAGCGGGAAACACAAAATAAGACACGAAGCGACAGCGCTAAATATAAACAAAGGTTCGTCGAAAACCACAAGTGCATATACTGTTGCTCATCAGTGTCAGCACCTTCACATACACTCGCACTACTTCCTGAAAAAGCACAAATCTTTATCTGAAAGGTGTACTGTTGGGGTGCTGATACATACTGAACCTCATGAAGATATACTTTCTGCTTCTATAACCTCGCAACTGCAGGGCCTGTCTCGCGAGATTATAGGTATCCATTGGTGTTTGGGATAGTAAAGCCACGCTTACATTTTCCCCCCTTCGAAACTAGGTACAATAAAAAAAATGATAACTAACCAGTGGTTTCTTCTGAATGTGGCGTTGCCGATATCTTATCCCTTTCGGTAAGGATGAGGTAGCACATGAACAGACTCAGTGAGAGCCCTAACACCAGCAATGGCTTTGAGATTCTGAAAAAAACAAAAAAGCAATCGGGCTTTAACCGAATGCTCGAGCTCTGGATCTGAATTTCTTGCGTATAGCCCAAGAGCAAAGCAAATGTACTATATTTGCTGGGAAAATGCAAATAAGCCCCTAAAGATGCGCTAAAATTCACCTGCAACAAGTTTACATTTGTCCGCTCATGGCACAAACTGTGGTGCATACCGGAATTTTCGTGCTCGTTTGTGCTGTACGTTGATCCACAAACTAGAAACGACACAAACTAGGACGACACAATCCTGGGGACATGACACAAACTAGAAAGATTGTGAAAGGCCTTTTCATACAAAAGAACAAGTGATAGTTGTTGCAGTTTTACTCTTCTATCGCATTCAGATTTTGAGATGTTGCTTTCGGACGACACTTCATTTCGGCGGAACCCTTTCCCTCTGGTATTTTCCTTTAACTCATATTTTTCCCCGGGTGTAAATCTCTTTTGTGAACAGATCCAAGTTTCAGTCAGCGTTTGTTTGTGTCCCTGTCTTTCTGTGTCCCGTTAGTTTGCGCTTCCACAACTTCACAATGAACGTATAGTACTTGTTGTCACTGGTTTGATTGATATGTTGGGTTTAACGTCCCAAAACCACCATATGATTATGAGAGACGCCGTAGTGGAGGGCTCCGGGCGTTTCGGCCACCTGGCGTTCTTTAACGTGCACCCAAATCTGAGCACACGGGCCTACAACTTTTCCGCCTCCATCGGAAATGCAGCCGCCGCAGCCGGGATTTGAACCCGCGACCTGCGGGTCAGCAGCCGAGTACCTTAGCCACTAGAACACCACGGCGGGGCCTTTGTTGTCACTGGTGCTTGCGCGCTTATAGCGGAACAAACTCAGGCACTCGGGACGTGCGCATACTTTCGAAGATTAATATTTGTTAGGGTTTGATGTTCCAAAACCACGATATGGTAATGAGTTTATAGTTAAACCCAGTTGTCCCTTACCCAGCCGGCATCTGCCGGGATAAGAAAGGGAGAAGTATTTTAATGAAAAGCTGGAGATGTTAGTCTAACGTTTACCTTTAATTCAGTGCGGATATGCTCGCCACGGTGGTCCAAAAGCGTGCGAACTTCAGCTTGTTGGTACACATTCAAAAAAAAAAAGAAGAAGAGACAGCGCGAAACAATAAAGTTGTTGTTTGCGCTATTTTTTATTATGAAAGTTTATAGCTGTTACGGTGCTAGGCTGCTGACCCAGAGGTCACGGGTTCGATCCCGGCTGCGGCGGTCGCATATTGGTGGAGGCAATACGGTAAAGGCTTGCGTATACTGGCCGATGCCAGCGCACGTGTAAGAACATCCCATGGTCAAAATTTCTGGAGCCCACCAGTACGGCGTGCTTCATAATCGTATCGTGGCTTTGTCCCATAGAGCCCCAGATAATAGTCAACGAGTAAAAGCTTCTCACCTTCGGTAGAAGTCCTGCATCTTCACAATGTCGGGCTTGAACCGTGCATGAAAACGCAGCTTCACCGCCCACACTCGTCTTCACTGTGCCGATGCTTTCTGTTTGGGTTACGCTTCCTGTGCAAATGTGGAGCACGTGTTCTGCTTGACTAGGTGCTCAAAAGCCGCGTCGTTCACAAGTGCTGCCAATCACACCGAACGGGAAGGACGTGGTGGGAAAAAAAAAAAGACGAACGTATGTTTATCTGGAAGAAATATTGTTTAACATATATGCGAAAGATATGAAAATCTCGGGAACCTCTTAATTCATTTATTTCTTTCTGATGACACCAGAGACGCTCGTACGCTTCCTGTATATGATATTGCCGTTTTGGAATTTCGATGTGCAACCCGCATGTGCGGCTGTCCACCAGAATTCCGAAACGGCAAAGTGATAGGACGATACACAAGCATGCGCAGTCGTCTGATAGCCGAGGCTTTGACCATCAATCTAAGGGTGACAAGTGTACGTTAGCGAGTTACCCATAACGCCAAGCAGAGAAGGGTTTAACTATCTGTTATGTTCTTAATACATTCGCATGACTGATTTGATATGAAGGGTTTAACGTCCCAAGCATGCATTCGCATCACTAATGTTTTCGATTAACAGCTTCTGCACATTGTAACGGGACGGAAAGCGAGAACTTGTAACGTTCTACATGCCGGTTTTAATTTCCCGCCTATGTTTTCTTTATATTGCGTTGAAGCAATAAAACCTTCGGTTGTTTGTCAGCGCTTGTCGTGCGCGTTCCTTCGCTTGTGTTAGTCTCATTCACGCCGATTTTACATTTCGCAAAAATGCGACCAACTTGCTACATAACAAACCGCACTTACGAAAGCTTCGCTAGAGCCGGCTATCCCTTCATCACGAAAACGACGTCAAACAAATGACTGAGAGAAAGATAAAAAAAAATACGTTGCAGCACAAATTGAATGCTACTAATCATCGCTGTCTGCTCGAACGGCGTAACGGGTGATGGAACGACACGGCGTCAGCTACATGGTTGCCGGTGTGTCGGCGCGTTCAGATGTTTTCCCAGCGCAATAGCGTTGTAACATTTACTGAAAAATGAAATTTCTCACCTTGTATAGGTTTAAGACGAGCCCGGTGTTCCACCCATAGCTACGCCACCGTCATTAGCCCATTGGTTACCCAAGTTTGCTCGCTTACTCACAGTTTTTTCGCTGCAAGGGAGCTGAATTTGTTATTGTGAAACGCTGATTTACTATCACACACACACACACACACACACACACACACACACACACACACACACACACACACACACACAAAATCTTTCTGTTGAGTGTCTCTTAAAAAGAAGAATCGCTCGGGAGTTGTTATTTTACGAGAGTTGTTTGTTCTATCATTAAACTTTTAAAAAATATTAAGATTGCGCGTAGAGAAGGTGCGAATGAGTATACTACTCACACATCGATACAAGAGGCGAGCAGAACAACTCGGGTGCTGCGAGCTGAATACAGGAAAAATTGTCTTGTCCAACAGTGTACTTCGCATGCCCGAGGCAAGCAGACAGCACAGCTGTTTACTGGAAAATGTGCGCCGCCGGGTATATAAGCACGAAACACGACTCCATGCACGACGGTCGAGAAAAACAAGATGATACATAAATACGCCGCTTGCTCACAAGCGTTGTGTGATGTGTACTGGGTAGCACGCCTTTTGTTCATTTATTTATTTATTTCAACGCCGTAGTAGAATCCCTGCAGGAGGAGGCGCACTTGCAAGGTCGATATTCTTAAAAAAATGACGTTTCCGTGGTATAGCCAATGACATATGGCCGGGGAGTAAAACTTTGAGCCCACGTACCCCCCCCCCTCCCCCTGCTCTCTCCCAAACTTTTTTCTCGTGCATTCAGTAGCTCGAAATGACCATTTACCTGCCCTGCTCCCACTCAGTTAACACAAAAAGGTGCCCCCCCCCCCCCCAAAAAAAAAAAGTTCTGCATACAACCTAAGAGATAGTATACGAAAACACGATGCAAAATATGATAATACCAACGTATAAGGATAGAAGCACACAAACAAAATGTTAGCACAATGCAGCAACAGTGAACGGGTATAAAATGTGTTACACATATATTCTAATTCACAACAATGAAAAAAAGGGGAGAGGGCACTACAAGGGGTAGCACCTCCTTTCCCTGTTTTCCTAAGAGCAAACATACAGCAAATGGCTTGGCCATTGTGAGAAAACCCGCAGGTCGCGGGTTCGATTCCCGGCTGCGGCGGCTGCATTTCCGATGGAGGTAGAAATGTTGTAGGCCCGTGTACTCAGATTTGGGTGCACGTTAAAGAACCCCAGGTGGTCGAAATTTCCGGAGCCCTCTACTACGGCGTCTCTCATAATCAAATGGTGGTTTTGGGACGTTAAACCCCACAAATCAATCAATCATTGTGAGAAATGTGGCCAGTTGCGGATGCGAGTATACTAAACGAGGCCAACGATATATTGACGAGGGAAATCATTAGAACCCGCGAATTAGAAAAAAAGAAACGAATGATAAGTGTGTCAGCATGCCATTCTTGTCACTGTCGAACAAGGAAATCGGATTGCTCGATCCATCACACTATATATTTTGATTGAAATAGGCTGGGACTGTGGCGACGAACATACGCAATTGGGTCTCTGGTTCGTGCCTTTCTTTTCACTAAATGCAGCCACCGCAGCCGAGATTCGAACCGCGCCATGCGGGTCAGCAGCCGAGTACCTTAGCCACTAGACCACCGTGGTGGGGTGTGCCTTTGTTTAGAACGAGAGCTGTTATAATAAGATCACAACACGGGTCACGCGCGGCGCCGTAGTTGTCCGCCGCCGCCAACGATTTCCGTAACCACTATCACACGAAATAAGAAAAAAAAAAGTACTTGAATAATGAACACCATGGGACATAGTGGGTTTCGAACCCGGGTCCACTGCGTGCCAGCCCCGTTTTATACCGCCGAGCCACGCTAGTTTTTTTTTTTTCTTTAATGAATGACATTATCACCAGTAAAGTACACAGAACATACTTCATCAGACGTCAGGCAAACACACACAAGCGTCAAGAACGGGAAGCCACTCCGGAACGGGGTCAAAAGTCTCGACAACACTGCGCACTTGAGCAGCTGCTTCTCGGAAGACAGATCTCGTCGACCGTGGTGGCTCGGCGTGTCTATTTTTCTTTTCTGCATTGTGAGCCGGGCTAGTGCAAGGCACTGGCTTGCAAACTTGCCTTAGGCAGGCTTAATGTCGAGAAAGGTATCGCGTTAATATGAGTAATCAATCGTTTTAGAACAGCAAAGGAACAACAGGCGTAACACAATGCGAATCGCGTAACGAGTGGGTCATCCAATGTTCCAACCAATTACAATAGCTTGTTTTTCATCACCTATTAACTGTGGCACATACTCACTTCAGGCGTTATTCTTCATCGTCGTCAGCCACTGCGCGAAAAACAAAATTCGCACGAAATTCGTTGCAAGTTTTAGCGGATACCACGTTTCTCTGAAGAAT